CGGACAGGTCGTTGCGTATGCTTCACGTCAGCTTAAGCCTCATGAGCAGAACTATCTGACGCACGGCTTGGAGTTAGCAGCAGTCGTTCATGCCCTGAAGATCTGGCGACATTATCTTTACGGCGGACGTTGCGAGATATTCACAGACAATAAGAGCCTGCAGTATATTTTCACGCAGAAGGAGCTTAATATGAGACAGCGCCGTTGGCTTGAGCTTGTCAAGGATTATGATTGTTCTATCCAGTACCATCCGGGAAAGGCGAACGTCGTCGCAGATGCCCTAAGCCGAAAGGTGAAGGTTATTTGACGTACGTCATTACGCAGCAGAGTCCGTTGATTCATGAGTTTGCCCGGATGCAGCTTCAGGCGATTGATGCACTTCCCATAGCTGTCTCGGGGAGTACCAGTGCCAGTGTCAGTGCTATGCAGCTTCAGCCGACACTGAGAGAGAGAATCCGGCGAGAGCAGGCTTCTGACGAGTTTGTTCGTGTCATGGAGGCCAAGGTTCACGCCGGAGATGTCAAGGATTTTCAGTTAGGTGCCGATGGTGCCTTGGAGTTTAGAGGCAGGATCGTGGTCCCGAAGGTCGAGGCGTTGCGGAAGGAGATTCTATCAGAGGCACATACCGCACCCTATCTGGCCCATCCCGGGAGCACGAAGATGTATCACGACCTGAAAGGATCGTTCTGGTGGCGAGGCATGAAGAGGGACGTCGTCGAGGTTGTCAGGAGATGTCTCACCTGTCAACAAGTCAAAGCCGAACATCAGAGTCCAATTGGCCTCCTGCAGCCACTGCCGATTCCGAGGTCGAAGTGGGAGGAAGTCACTATGGATTTCGTTACGAGATTACCGAGGTCGTCTGAACATCACGACGCTATCTGGGTCGTGGTCGACAGATTGACTAAGGTCGCGCATTTCCTACCCGTTTCGATGAAGATGTCTCTGGACAAGTTGGTGTTAGAGGTATGCTGTAAAAGCTGTGTTTTGCAGTTTCTATCAATTCCATTT